AGTAATGTGGAGGAGCTCCGTCTTGCTGGAAAATCAGTTCGTGTTCATTGTAAGCAGGGTCGTCCTCTATGATATTTGTTAGAGCTGGGTCGATGACATTTTGTAGTAAATCCAAGTACATATCGCCTGTCAAATTTCCAGGAAGGAAAAAAGGACCTACAATGGAATTTCCAAAAATACCTGCCCATACATTCAACTTCTGGGGGTGTTGGGAGTGTGTCTCATGGAAAATCCTTGGATTGGTATCAGCCCAGTAACGACAATTATGGCGATTCACTAAACCATTCAAGAAGAACGTACACTCGTCCGAAAAACACACATTAAAGAGGAAATTATCGTTTATCGCTCGTTCAGTCATTATTTCGCAAAATTGCAAACGACGATCAAAATCGTCTTCATTTAGCTCTTGCACTAGCCGAATCTTATAAGGATGGAATTTGTATTTTTTTAATATTCGTTGGACACTTGTACGACTCACTCCTGTCGCAGTAGCCAATTGCATTGTACTCAGCGTACTATCCATTGCCACTTGCCCCAATACCGCTATTTCCGTAGGTTCATTTAGTACCGGATTTTCAACCTGCCTCTTTTTGTTATGAACGGAGCCAGTTTCGCGAAATTTGGCCACCAATTCGCGAACAATTTTTCCAGACGCATGTTTCTCAGGATGCCGTTGGTTGAACAGTTCGGCGACCCGATTTCCGCATTCATTGTTTTTGAAAAAAAGCTCAATAATTTCTACTCTTTCTGGAATTGAGTACACCATAATTAATCAATTTAAAAGACTCGGCAGTATTGGTACTCTTCAACTACAAGTCACAAGACAGTTATCTAGCAACTTCTTGTGGCCTATCTAAATACGAAACAAAAAGCGGACAATTTTTTGCTCACCAAAATCAGGCTAAAGAATTCGCAAATCAGAAAAAAAAAAGCGAATTCTTTTGAAGGAATTTACCAAGCTAATACCGTAAGTTTTGAAGTAAAATTAAATCGATTTTCGCATTTCTCGTCAAAAATATTGTTCGTATTTTCAAAGCTGCATATTTTCTAAAATAATGGATCGATTTTCAAAAAGTAAGAATCGATGTATAGAGAATTAAAAGCCCTTTCTAATGACCCCCCACTTGACCCCCATTCCCATTTGAAAAAATTTAGGGGATAGCACCCCCACTTAGGGGTTTGAAGATTTTGGTATGCTTTTTGATCCAAAAGTTGTCCCCCTCAGAAACAAATTTGACCTGTTTTTGGATTTTACCGAAAAGTTCTTTACAACCCTGTAATGCCTTGCGGTACGTTTTCAATGGGCTACCCTGTATACGTAGACTGTGCAATGTGACCTGAGTCATCATCCCGTGCAGCTACAGCTGTATAAAGTACAATTAGTATAAAAAAAATACTTCATGTCCACACAATTTCTAGCGGCCGAGCTACGAACTTGAAAACTATTTCCAGCGATTTTTTTTTTGGTCCATTTATTAATCAATTTTTTTTTTTCGAAGCTTTAAGGCCTATTATACTTTCCCTAATATCGTACCCCGCCGACATTAGTAGGACATCCTGTACAGTATAATTAGCATAAAAAAATACTTCATATCCTCACAATTCAAAGAGGACAATCCTACAAATTTATAGCATTGAATGGAAAACTCATTAATATTGTTTCAGTTTTATTCGGTGCAGTGTATAAATTAATAGTACAGTTTTTCCGGGAATGTGTTTTTCCCATCAATGCTGCATAATGGTGTGAATTTTCTATTTAACGAAAGCTTTGGAAATCGTTATTTTAATGGAATCTAAAATTGGTCCATTCCAGAGATACTGTACAAATCAAATTGACAATAGTGTTTTTTGTTTAACAGTAATGTTTTATTACCAGAATTCCATTTTATAAAAAAATTTAATCAACAGAAAATTGAAAAATAATAGCAATAACCGTTAAAAAAAATTTATATTCCATTTCAATTTCCACTGTAATTAGCATGAAATCGGATATAAAGAACACATTTGATGATTTCATATCCTCACAATTCAAATGGAAAAGCGCTACAAAACTTTCAAATTTATAGCTCTAAATAGAAAACAAATTGCGTTTTTTCGCATCAATGCTGCATTTTGCTATTCAACGAGAGCTGAAAAAACATAATTTCCATGGATTCTAACATTGCCCCATTCCAGGGACATTGTTACGTTTTACTCTTCTTTTTTTTTCTAACAGTTCATATTATTGCTAGAATTCCATATAAAATGGCCTATTTTCAAGATAGGATTCCACAAAAACTTTCAATAACAAACTGAAGAAAGTAGTACCAACTGCCGAGATTAAAAAAATTATTTTACATTTTAATTTTTAATTTTAATTATTCTTCAATTTCTGGAAATTTGTAAAATTTAAGTAAAACTTTAGTAGTTTATGTAAAATTAATTAGGAGTATTCCAGTATTCCAGATCCGTCAGTACTATATTAGAAAATGTTAAACTTCAAAATTTATGAAAACTGCAGTTAATATAAGAAGTATTTTTTTTAAATTTCTCTTTATTTCAGTGTTGCATAAATTCCAATTAAATAGTAAAATCAAAAACGGAAAATTGTTGAATATTGCACATTATCATGTAAGCTTACTTAACTAAGATATATTATACAGGGTGTTATTTAAGTACGTGGCCAAACTTCAAGAAGTACTTCTTTATGTGATTCTAAGACGAAAACATTATACAGGGTGTCCGGAAATGATGAGCAAAAAATTCAGGGGACAATTCCAGACCGAAAATAAATCCTACCTCTTTATATAACATTTTCTCCAAAACTGATTATTAACAGAGTTACAGGGTGTTAAAGTTAAATTTTATTTGCGGTTTTTTGCAATACCTTTTGCCACACTCATAATATTTTGACGAAATTTCGTATATGGGGGTTTTTCGGGATGAGGATTATAAATATACCCACCGTTTTTTCGCATTTCGTAGAGGGCGCCACATACGAGCCTTTATTTTGATTTGAATGGTTCCAACTTTTTTGTGCTACACTTTATGCGACTTTTGACTGAATATTTCTGTTCTCCTAATCTTTTGACATAAAAAAGGTATACTTTATTTGTTTCGATAAATCTAACCGTTTTCGAGGAAAACGCTGTGTTATAAAAACAGTGTTATTTATGGTAGAAAGGGGCTAATTTAGCCCTAACCAGATTAAAATTATTAAGTCCAATGGCGGGGAGCACCTTGACCAATATTTTTGACAAAAAAACTGTGCGCCACTGAGTTTTTAAAAACTTTTTTCGTATTAAGCAACTAAAAATATAACATTATTGTCTCTTGAATTTTTTTTGCATATTGCTTCCTTTTTGGAGAAAAAAATAAAAATCACTTTATTGCATGTCCATGCACGTACAAAGTTATTTCTTTTTTTTCCAGAAAGGAAGCAAGATTTGAAAAAAATTCAAAAGGCAATAAAGTTGTATTTTTAATTGCTTCGCGCGTAAAAAAATATAAACGTTTTAAATGTCAGAGCCGCACACTTTTTTTGTCAAAAATATTGGTTAAGGTGCTCACCGAACTGCACTGGACTTTATAAATTTAATCTAGTACCTATAAAATTTCAACAAAATCGGCTAAACGATTATTAAGATTTTACTAAAAAAAATCTTTTTTTTTTTCTTTTCAAAATCTTTTCAGATTTTGGTCAACGTTTACATACATACATGTGCCCAATTTCAAATTATTTCACTTACTAGTTTTTAAATTATTTAAAAAAATTAAAAATAATTTTTGAACTTTAACACCCTGTATATTTTTAAGGAAGCGTCCTAGATAAAAACTGTACAGAAAAGACCCCTTAAAATTCACCAAAGAATACGAGGTTTCATTGATCACCATTTGTGAATCACCCTGTATTTGTTTCGATCCCATTACTTTGGGAGAACAATGAGTCACAGGTAGAAATGTTCATTGCTAACTTAACGATATAATAAAACAACTAATATACTTCACTCCCACAATCTCGTAAATTACTGAATATTGTACAAGCCCAGTAAGGTCGCTGGGTCAAATTTATCTAGGCCGAATCAATCAGTTAAAAATGAACAAGCCAACGGCGACGATGTTTTTGTTAATGCGGATAAATGAACAAATTTCAGCTCTGATCACAATACACAAGACCTCACGACCTTCTGTTTGTTCTTTTGGATCTTAGACCTTACTGATTTTTTATTTTTTGTGCCAGACTTCACATTTTCTCTTTGCGCCAAGGTTTAGAAACTGGGATTAATAGCACAATTTATTTCACAAGATGGTGAAGTTTCGTTTACTACTTTTTTTAATTTCTTCATACATTTACTGGCTATAATGGACGCCAAACCATAAAACCAACACCCGACAAGCTTTTAGGTCTTATTTCGATGGTTCAAAACGTTAATTTAGGACTGAAACATTACTGAAACAAAATACCAACAACTTTTCAACGTTTAAACTCCAAACTGATGTACTCCAGTATGCCCTCGCCATTAATATCGGTACTCCTAAGACTAATGGATAAAGAAAAGGTCAATGAGTATCCGGTTACGGGTATATTTCACCGTTAAAACGTAAGCCAAGCAGGGAAGACGAAATTTTATCAAGATATATTGCGGAAAGGTAGTAGGTACAGATGGAATAAGATATGTGCCAGCGTGGAGGTTCTGTAAATTTAAAATTGATGTCCTACTTCCAGAGATTTACCTGCCGGCACAATTCGCCCCATTTCGTGTCGCGGGAAGCAGAAATTAGTTTATTTTCAAGTACGAGGAGTGGAAAAATGTATCTCGAAAACCGGTTAAATAATGTAATCTTAATAGTCGTTGTTTCATTTTGACTTTTTTTTCGTATGGAACATTTCCAGAACCTACGAATTCCTCCCCATCAAGGAACTCCCTCAGCCACCGTCACCGAGTCAAATGTACGCACACACCCAAAACACCAACTATAAAACTACAAAAAAAAATGTGTAAAAATAAACCGCGACTTACCGCCCATGTTCATGGGATGTTTGTCGGGCAGTTGAACGGCTACCCCGAAACCACCCAACTTCACAGGTGCGGAATTCTCCTTCGTCGCCAGCAGGATACACTCCGGCTTGATGTCCCTGTGGACGATGTCGTTCTCGTGGCAGTATCGCATGGCCTCCAGGATCTGCCTCATGTAATGGCTACAACGAGACGACTTTCTGTTAGCAACAATCACAAGAGCGACTGAAGTTTCGTATATTTCAATTGTACAAATTACTTGTATAATAACGAGCGTTCAAATAAAAACGTGGTCAAGTTGGTTCTGAAAATTTGGACGTAGGACGTAGCGTATAACAAATGAACTTAAACGTCATCTGTCAAAGCGCTATATCGCCGCTATCAATTTGAATATTTTCGTTTTAAAAAGCGTTTAAAATCGTGTTTTCTCAAGAACAAAAAGTGTTTATCATAGAGTCCTACTTCAGAAATGGACGCAAGATTGATGGAATATGGAAGTATTCTATTGAGGAATGTTTCATAGAATTTCAAAATCAATTTCCCTGCGTTGTTGAGTACAAAATTTTTCAAAGTGCAGTTCAGCGTTGTGTTAATGTTTTTCGTGAAACGGACAGTGTGACAAGAAAAGAAGGAAGCGGCCGACCTAAAAAGCGGACTGAAGAATTAAAAGAAAATGTCCAACAAATAATGGAAAATGCGCCAAGAACTTCTGTACGTGTTTTATCACAAATGGTGGGAGTATCAGTCGGTACCTGCCACACAGTGTTAAAAAAAGATTTGCGTTTGTTCTCCTATCGTTTAACTTGTCAGCAAGAACTTCATGAAGTTGATTTTCCGCGACGGGCTGTATTTTGTGAATGGTTTTTAAACAACTACGGTGAACTTCATAATATCACCTTTTTTTCTGATGAAGCCTGGTTTCATTTAAGTGGTTACGTAAACTCACAGAATATGAGAATGTGGTCTTCTGAAAAACCAGATAACTTTTTTGTCGAGGGCCCTCTACACGCTCAAAAAATTGGAGTTTGGTGTGCTCTCAATCGAAGGAGGATTTATGGACCTATTTTTTTTAATGGTACACTTACTGCGCAAAGGTATAGACAAGAAATTATCGCTCCTTTTGTTAACCAGCTGGAAGAAAACGAAATTACAAACTTTTACTTTCAACAAGATGGCGCAAGGGCACATACGGCAGGCGAGACGATGATATGTTGAGGGAAGTTTTCCAAAATCGACTAATAAGTCTCAATGCTGAACATGAATTTCCACCGAGGTCATGTGATATTACGCCGTGTGATTTCTTTTTGTGGCCTTACCTTAAAAACACTATTTTTGAACTGCCTATTACTGATTTAAACCATCTGCAGGCTCGACTTATAGACAAGATTCGTGAAATTAACAATACCCCGAGCATCTTAGAAAATGTCTTTAATTCTTTGAGGAACAGGTGTGAAAAGTGCTTGGAACAAGGAGGGGGACACTTTCAGCAGCTGCTTTAATTTATTGTTATAACAAGGAGGGGGACACTTTCCGCAGCTCCTTTAATTGTTTGTTATTGTTATCACGATTATTCTTTAAAATAAAGTTATATAGTCATTAACGTTATTGAAACTGACAGCTGCTATACAGCTCGTTGAGAAATGAGGTTAAGTTGGTCGCTATAAGCTACTCCCTACGTCCAATGTGTCAGAGCCAACTTCGACCACGTTTTTATTTGAACGCTCGTTATAATGACATAATTTATAGACATAACTAAAATAAAATTTCCTAAAGTCCGTTTTTTTTTTTTGGTAAATTTTGAAGGCAAAAAGAGCCAAGACTTTTCAAAATTATAAAAATAACTAAAATTTTTCAGCTTCTACTGTTAAACATACATAATATCTTTTGCCTCCAATCTAAAAAATTTGCTGTCTCTACTACCACCTATGGGTTCGTAACTGGTAGAGGCCCTAGACAAACTTCACTTTGCCCAACAAGCAACACGCAACGCCACTGGTTCACACCAAAAAAAAACAACGAAATAATATCTCATTAACAACACATCAATGACTTATAACTATGTGGTGTTCTCTTTGAACTTTGTCTGGTTTCATATTTTCTATATGTAGTTTGGACAAACATTAAACAACTTCGTCTTTTTTGTTTAATTACACAAAGGTTTCGTTGTTTTCAACATCCCGCTAATTGTAAACATGCTATAGCCGCTTATTTGTATGTAGCTTAAAAAGTTGTCAGCCTCTAGTACCGACTAATAACTAGTTGGGGCAAATGTATGTTTCGCCCAATACACGACGGAAGAGAAAAACGAAAAAATAACTCACTAATGATGCACCTCTGTCTACGCTGTTTACAATTATTACTTTGAAGCATGCTCTTTGATGTGCAGTTTAATATTTGATATACAAACACTGAACAACGCAGTCGTCTTCCTCTATTTAATTAAAGAGGGTTTCGTTGTTTTCAATATTCGACTGATCATAAACATATGAGTTTTTTTTTCATTTGTCTGTCTGTTACCGACACGGTAAATCGTACCTGCAATCACGTGTCGATGTGGATGAACGTAAAAATAAAATAAAACTCTTTCCGTACCCTATCATGTCAAAAACACAAGCGGAAATGAATTAAAAAGGAAAAATGCCCGGCACGTGAACATAAATTGATCTTGGTAAATACATTTGTAAATGCTCAATCCGTCGATTCCAATAATAGGCCAGGAAAAAGAGCTGGGAAATTACCATTTCGCGACTTTTTGTTTCGGCAAGCTGAATTTATCACTATAGAAGCTAAATATCATGTACAATAAATATAAAATGGAGGGAAGATTGTTTACAGGCTGGTTAATTCTATAATTTTTACGTAAATTCACGTTTTTCGTTTATAACTTTTTCCGTTCATTTCCACCAGAAAACAGTAAAAGATCTACAAAACTAGCCCTCGAGCGTCAAAAAATATTGATTAGATCAAACGTTATAAACAGAAGAAGTTTATTTATGACTTTTGAATTAAATATTTATAAACTGCTTTATTATTACCAGAACGTTTTGGCATCGCATCCTCTCATTCCTTATCACTGTCTAATAACTCACACGACATCTGGAATCGGTAAGTTGAATTTTTTACAAGTTATGGCCTTAAAAACAAATTAACTAATTATTAATCTGGACGATCCCCAGGATCTTCCACAATCGCACTAATTTTTTTCATGGTAGATTTCATAATATTACATTGAAATCTATCATTTTTTTTTTTAATTTCAAATTTGCAACCTGGATTTTTTTTTTATTTTTTAGCCTTAGTTGCAAAATGAAGTATACGACGCACACGCGTGATATAGTTATAAATTATTACATATTCGGAAAGTTTATGAAAAGAGCTTTAAGTTAAAAAAAAACGTCAAGATTCGGAAACAATCTTCCCCCTATTTATATGACTGTGGAAACTAATACGTTATTGTACATAATATTTAGCATCTATAGTGATAAATTCAGCTAGCCGAAACAAAAAGTCGCGTCCAACTCTATATTTCCTGGCCAATAAAAATGGTATCGACAAAGGAGTGGCCATTTTTTACCATGAAACTTGATGAAAAATTGCTTTTATTTTGTCAAATGTTTGCTGTAGACTGAGAAAACTTTTATTCATAGTTTGTTTAATTAGATACACAAATCAGCTGAGTTAGCTTACAAATATGTAAACCAGTAAAGTACATTTAAAGATTTAAGAGAATGCAAAACTTATGTTTCCAACAATCCAAGACCGGTTGTCCAAACAATTTTAACAAGCACAAATACACGATCGTATAGCAGTTTCGCCGTCAAAAACCGCACGCAAATATTTACAAACCCTTCGAAATCCAGAAGTCCAACACCTGACTTAAAATTATAAATTGCTTCCAGAGATTGGAATCCCCGGCACAAGTTCGTTTCGAAACGTTTCGCTCAGTTGAAATATCGACCTCTGTAGGTTTATTGTTACGATTGTGGTGAGTTAAGAAAATCAAAAAAGTTTTAATTGAGTCTATTAAATCCTGAATTTAATGAAGTTGCCTGGGGACTTAATGTTATTATGCGATACTTCCTGTTGATCCGGAAAACAATAATTCGATTTGAATTTATTATAAACGTGATTAAGTATCTGTAGAAGCAAAGAAATCTGCTGTCCGCAGATGAAACGCTCAATTCATCAAAAAACGTTATTTTTTTGCTGTTACAACAATTTTCCACTTATCACTATAAATAAAAAAATTATTTTTCGCTGGATTTACTTTTTTTAAGGTCGTAACTTAATTCTCTGTTGGTTTATTAAACAAACAAAAAAATTTATTGTACATTATTAAACTTTAACAATAAATTTTACGGATTTTTCATGAAATATTTTAATTTTTTGTTATTTTTTGTTTTTTCAACTATTATTTTAATTTTTTAAGAAAAATAAAATGCACCATCTTAAAGTAGAGAGTTTAAGCTTAAGTTTAAGTACCCTCATAAAGTTTCAATACCACATTTACAACTATAGTCTTTGATCTATAAAGTATGGCCTAAAGAGTCAAATTTGTGATTTTTTTAAAATTATTGAATATGTTGGGCACAATATTTTTCAGATTAAATTTTTTAGATTTTTTTCCATATCGCTCACTGTTTGAATTTGAAGAGTAACCTGTGAAAGTTACAGATATTTATTTTAAAAATTAAAAGAATGACAGCTATTTTATTAATATTGTACAAAATTATAGAATGACATAACTTTGTATACGTACTATATATTTTTTTTTCTCAAGTTTAAAGACATAAAATTTTGATAGCCCCGGACGACTCTTCTTTCATTTAAATTTTTGTGAAATCGATTTGATCAATTAGATCAAAAGTTAAAACAAATTTAGTGTAACGCGCTCAGGGTCTACAGCTTTCAATTCGCATTTTAGAAAAAAAACTTTATTAACATTTTTTATGTAAAATTTCCTGTTCTTTCGAATGGCGTAGTTATTATTATTTCTTTAATTATATTTTTTTATATATTTTGCAAAAACTGTAATTTAAAACTAATTTGTTAAATAAATAATTTAGCGTACACTATACAGTTAGTAACTTTTTATATGTTGTTTCTGACAACTTTACAAAGCGAAAAATAAAAAGTTCTCTCTTCCAGTAATTTTAGCGAAGTGAAAATCTATCTTGACTCC